ATTTGCCGTCTTTTGTTTTGACATTTCTTCGTTTAATTTCAGCTCATTTTTGTTAGATCATAAACAGTCTACTTTGCTGCTTCTTATCAGCCTTTTTTTTGTTCTGGATTTTAATTCTCCATTAAATTAACCATATTCTCCCAGCCTGGATGGTTGTTTTTTTCTTCTTTACTTTTGGTGCTGATGTTGTTGTTCCTTATGCATCGCAGCAAATAAGTGAAACAAGAAAGAATTAATTAAATTCATTTGAAAATTAAAAATTCATTTAATTTTCCTCAACCCAAATACTTTGAAGAAAAAGAACAAGAAAGTGAAAAAAGAAAAGAAGGAAAAAAATGCAGGAAACTCATTCCCAAGACAGACTTTGGTGAGTTATTCAACGGCTACGGTCTGATGTTTTTTGTTTTTTGGCTCTGAAAGTTTGTCATGATTTCTTCATTAGCTGACTGACATCAGCCGTTCATTTGCCGAGTTGACTTGCTAAGGTTGGGAAGGTTTAAGGGCACCTTGCACCAAACTTTGACCACCTTGTACCTCGTGAAGTTAAAAATGCTTTCATTTCGACGTTTCTTCTAATTGCTTTATTTCTGTCTGTTACTCACACAGACACACGCGAAGTCCTGAGGATATCTTGTCTCCTGCTGCTCTCCAATACAAACCGAATACAATTTCCCTGATTTTCATTTGTGTATTTTTTTTTGTTCTGTGTTTCTTTCTTAATTTCTTTAATTTCCAACTTCAATCAGAGTCTTGGTGTATATTTTAATGAATCTTTACATACGGAAGTGTCCTTTTTTGGTGGTCTATAGCCGCAGCAGCATGAAACTTTCAGTTCCTTGAGGAATATTAATTGGGTAGAGGCAGGACAGGGCAGGCCAGTGTGAAGAGAGTGTTGAAAGAGAGGCAATAATGTGCAGTAATTTAAACAATGACTTTTTCGGGGGAAAATGTGAAAAATAAAATTGGACCGTCTTTTCATTGTCGTCGGAGTTTTTCTTGGCTCTTTTTTTTTGGCAAATTGAAAATAAAACATTAGCCAATTAGTTAAGTAAGAGAGAACATTGAATGAAATTGTTAGTTTTTTCTTCTTGTCTGGTCTAAAAATATAAAAAAAATGTTGAAAAGTAAATTATTGAAATCGTGTCGGAGGAAAGTTAGTTGTGAGACATTTTTTTGTGTTTTAAATAATTTCACGAATCTAAGGAAATCTGTACGGGCGTGGGAATAAAGGCGGGATTTCAAACAGGTACAGCAGGTACTGGTTTCAGAAGGAAGTTCAAAAGAAACCTATAACTCACCGTTTTTGTATGACAGCCTCGAATTCAGAATCGACGATGTACAGTGGTCGATTTAGTAAAGTAAAGTAAATAAATAAAATAAAATATAATTTAGGGGTAGATTATTTTTCAATTTTTACTCGGAATCAGCTGTATTTTGAAATTTAGGGTTCTCATTAGGTATAATTTCGTCTCGCAAAAAAGTTTTTGCCGCAATAATTGAACGATCAGTTTTTTTTTTTTTTATTTTCAAGGCTAAATTAATAATATTTCCTTAAAAAATATATTTTAACAATTTTTCCTTCCACATTTTCATACTAACCTTAGTACTTTGTAATATTATTATCAATATGGGCAATACCAGCCAACTCCTGGCGCCTCCCACACAAAAGGTTGACATATTCAAAAAAAAAAAAAAAAAAAAAAAACAATATTTTACTGTACAGAGAGAGAAAGGATAGTTAGATTTTTCTCGAAATTTACGACTCCTAATATTTACATCAGTGCTAGGTCAAGTGCGAAAATGGACAATATCGGCTCACGCCATTTTGTACCTCTCCCACAAAGAGTCAAAAGTTCGAATAATTATAACTCTGATAAAATGTGAATTAACAGTCCGATTGTGTTCAAATTAGATTACACACATCACAGTATTTTAATAAACCCAAGGTCTGGTGTGAATATGGTACAGATCGGACAATTCCTTCCACTCCTTCTGGTACCTCCCCCACAGAGGGTCAAAATTTTGAATATCCATGAAGTTTATAAAACGCATCTCAATATTTTTATCAACACAAGATCTATTATAAAGATTGTAGAGACTGGACAATTCCTTCTGGTGCCTCCTCCACATAGGGTTCAAGATCATGAAAACCCAAAAGCTCAAAGAAAGCGAAATAAACATCCAACTCTTTTCACACATACACACATTTTTTCCAACACAAGATCTGTTTGGAAGATGATATATATCTGTGAACCCCTTCGGGTGCCTCCCCAACAAAGGGTCACAATTATCAATTCTTATATCTGTCATAACGTGGTAAACAAGTCAGCGATTCATTAAAACTTAATGTATTTAAATATATCTCTCTTTGCCAGAAACCTGAAATCAATATGGAATTAATGATTTCGGATTAAATTGGATATAAATGTTCGATTTTCTTATAATTTTTCCCATACCAATATTTTTATCGGTATTAGATGAAGTATGAAAATGGCAAACTACGGCCATATATTTCATATATTTCATTTAATGTGAATAAAGTAGTCGATATAGTCCAAACCTGGCACGTCGCAATATTTATATCATATTTATTTAAGTCCGATACAAAATTTACTATATTGGCCCATTTCTTTGGAACCTACTCCATGGAGGGTCAAACATTTGCAAAGTCATAATAGAAGTCAAAATATATTTAAATAATCGAATATCGGCTGTCGACAATACCGACTGATGCTTTATTTTGTACCCCATAGATTAGAGTCCCTAATACTCAATTATGTATATTTGAAATACATTTCATTAAAAGCTTTATATTTAAAGCTTACGAGAGTACAATTTTTCTTTACGTACTTTATTTCTTTTTAGAATTTTTCCTATATTTCACAAAATATAAAGCATAACAAGTGGAGAAAGATGTAAATGTATATAAGTGTGGTTGTAAGATATAGAAGATTTTTCAAAAGAATTTTGGTTTTACGTAATTCTTTGGTTCTTCTTCTGTTGAGCTTACGATCTCGTCACTTAGGTAAAAAAAATTGTCATAGAAGTTATTTTTAAAATTTCTCTGGGAAGAATATCCCAGACAAAAAACAAGGAACTGATGAGGATTGGTGGGTCTTTCCGAAACCTAGGTATTTCCTATCTTACCCCCTGGTAAACATTACCATCGTTCTCCACTAATAAACAAACGTTGTATTTATAAAAACAACTATAAAGGGATTAAGCCTGACCATTTTGCAACAACAAAATACTATTGTATCCCGAACAAACAAGCCTACACTGTTCTATCTGCGTATTCTCCTCCATTTGACATATTAAGGATTATTTTGGGTTTTAAGCGAGAGCGAGTTTCCTTCCCTTCAAATTCAAATTCAAATTCAAATTTTCAAGATTTTAAGTAGTTTGGCTTAAATTTTTAATTTTACAACATTTTGCACTACAAGCATAAACACTATATTTCATAGCTCCACCTGGATTAGAAACTATGGATTTTCGTTACCAAAAAATTAATTTGGAAACAAGCTTCGACGGGCTGTTGTATATCTCAATTTAAATAACTATTTGTTTAAACAAAGTAGAACCTGTGTTTTTTCAGATCTTATATGTATTCTCTTATTATTCTTTTTCTCGTTTTAACCCTATTTGTTGCCTTCTTATTATATGCATTTATTTCTGTTGTTGGTATGGGTAACCCCCTCCACACCACCATCCTCTTTATATTCGGTCATATTTATCAACGCCTAAAAAATTCAATAAAACCATAAAAATGTCCCTTTATGTTACATTTTTCGTTCCAAATCATGTGTGTGAGTGTGTGCATCGTTCGATGAACGGGTTGCAACTGACACACACACACACACTCGCAACCTTTACATAATGACACGTCACTGTGTATACATGTAATGGACCGAAAAAGTAATAGGTAAACGTTGCAACTGTCATGCTTTCATAAAGCTCTTCAGCGCATTAGGTTATGTTTCTTCGGCAAACATGAGAACGCGTGTCTCTGTGTGTGTGTGTGAGTGCGTGCGTGTTCGTGTGATGCTAACGGCTTCTGTCTGTTACCTAGAGACTAAAAGGGCAAATTGCATTGCCGTCACCGCAATCAGTGCAATCAACCATAAAAACCACTTTGCAGCAGCATCATCCCCATGATGCGACTGATATATCGATGTTGTTGTCTTTTATGTTGATGCCATGGCGTTGTTGTTGTTGTCGTTGCTGATGGTAAACATTGACTACGGTCTGATGACCGAACAATAATGACAAAAACAACACCGGCACTATCTATGCATGAGAATATGCTTAACCACTACCTTAACGGTTTTGATCGTTACCTCTCTCCCTCCACCGGCCAGGGTAACTCACTCTCAGGCCCCTTTTACAAGCAATCGAACAAGAGCAATCAAACGAACACACTTTCAACAACCTTTAACATTCAAATGCCATTATCAGGCAGTCAGGCCGGTCCACTTGGCACTCTGCTACATGTGTTCCGTTTCCTCTTCTTGCTGCGCCACGTTTTTAAAAGGGCTTCCTGTAAATTAACATCTCTGCCATGACCGCTTAAAAGTGACCGCAAAAAATCAAAAGCCTTTAAAACAGTTAACCAACAGAGCGGCACGCACGCATTGACTACGCCCACATCGCCTCGTAAATAAGTGTTTGCATGGGGACTTTATAACAACACAATCTCTTGTGTTGTTTGTTCACACAGGAGAGAATCACGACGGGAAGGCCATCGTGGTTAAGATCGAACACACACACACTCACTTTGCTTCGTGTCGAATGCGTGCTTACACATAAGGCAATTAATAATTTTCCCATAGCTGGCCTTTTTTTAATGTCATGTTGGCCCTTTAATTAAGAATGACAAAGGAAGGAGTTTTTTTTTCGCCGCACAAGAAACTGTGCACACATCGCGTAGGCCTTCCTTTGGGTCTCTCTACTCTGTTACTGGAATTTTCCGGGCTTACCCGTTGTGTAAATATTTTTCTCACCTGGAAATTTATACAGCTCCACCTCGTTGCAATTAATTTCGATAAGCGTCGTTGTCTCATTCGGTAATCCGGCACATTGACACATGCTATTTAGTGGGCAGGAGTAGAGTATGTCTTGAGGCTGTGAATTGAAGAGGTTGGCAAAGCTGCCACTGCCACCACCACCGGCATTTGGTATCACAGGTGGTGGTCCCCGGGCTGCTAACAGGTTGGAAGCACTGCGAGGCACTCGATAGCCAGGACCTAGAGACCCAGGACCACCGCCATCGAATTTCCAACAATCGGCTGTATTGCGAAACCAATACAGCAGTGAAATGGAAATTATTAACAGCTGAGGACGTTGATAATCCATTCTGTAAAGAGAGATGAAGAGAGAGAGGGTTATTACATTCGATGACATATGATACGTTTTGGAAGTTTTAAATATAAATATGCAGGGTGAGATGTAAAACTGCAACAAAGTCAAACGCCATCATTTTTATATTTTTTTAATGCTATTAAAAAAATATAAAAATTCATTTATTTATTTATATGTTGCAATGAAAAAGCCATTAGGCCAATAAGTATCACAACTATCAGAAAACTACAAAAGTGTACTCCAAAATAAAAAAAAAAAAAAAAAAAAAAAAACATCTTAAAAATATTACATAGTGTATCTTAAAGTAACCTAAGAAATCATATGTAAAATATGGACAAAAAGGCTCCCCAGCCAATGAAAATAAATTTAAGTCTATTGCTGGTAATAAAAAAAAAACAATATTGAATCAAACGATACAGTATCGTCAATATCATTAACAAACAAATTGTTAACCTCCATTTGCCTCTACAAAGTTTTCAAACATGCGGCGAAAAACACCGCGGGAAAACGAGAATTGTCGTAGCTCAGCTGGAAGCTGATTCCAGATTCGTGCGGAACGAACTATGAAAGATCTTTCATATAGAGACGTAGAAAAATGAGGGAAAATTATTTGCGTATTCCTAGTAGACCGAGAGAACACTAGCCGATCTCGCTGAAAACCGGGAAGATTTAAACAGATAAATTTATATAGAAATGAAACCACGCGTTGTTTAACAAAAGTAGAGAATGACACTCCTAGAAAGAGGACTGCATGCGCAGAAATATGGTCAAAACGACGCAAATTATAAACATATCTTACAATGATGTTAAAAAGTTTTTCTAATTTCATTAAATACTCATGTGTTGTACCAGAAATCACTTCAATGCAGTAGGAAATTACCGAAAATAACATAGAATGAGCAAGATTTCTCTTTACAAATAAGGGCAAATAGAAATCAGTTGAGTGTAATTTTCGTAGCATATTTATAATTTTGGGGTACAGTGCATCAATATGCAAAGAAAAATCAAGCTTGGCATCAAGAACAACACCTAAACAATTTATGCGGTCAACAAAATCCACCACTACACCATTAACCTGTATATTAATACCGCTATTCAGTCGGCAAGGTGAACCAAATATCATTGCTTTTGTCTTAAAAACATTTACTACTAGATTATTATTTCTCAACCAACGTGAAATATTAGCTAATGTTGTATTTATGCTATTCTCTAGTTGAAAGTCTGATTGACCTTTAAAAAATAAATGAATGTCGTCCGCATACATAAACGGATGACAGTCGCAATTAGTTAGAATGCTACTAATGTCATTGACATATAAAACAAAAAGAAGCGGACCTAAAATTGAACCTTGAGGTACCCCGCTGTAAATATTACGTAAGCTGGATGCCTCGCCATTATATGAAACATATTGAGAACGTCCAGATAAATATGAAGCAATTAATTTACAAGAATTACTGTCAAATGCATATAATGAGAACAGTTTCTCAATCAGAATTGAATGATCCACACAATCGAATGCTTTCGAAATATCCAGCGCAACAAGAACACCACTATCACGTCCATCAATTGTCTCTCTAATCAAGTCAGTTAAGTCTACTAAAAGTGAAGTAGTGCTGAGACCACGCCTAAATCCATATTGATAATTAATCAAAAATTTATTGTCATGTATAAATGATTGAATCTGCATCCTTATGAGATGTTCAGCAACTTTAGAAAGCGACGGTAGTATACTTATAGGTCTCAAATTCTCAATAGTGTTCCTTCCTTTATTTTTGGAAATAGAGAAAACCCTAGCAATTTTCCAGTCATTTGGGAAGGTCGATGTTGTAAACATTGTATTAAAAATATAGGTGAAATGTCTAGAAATATATGGATAGATTAATTTCAAAAATTTAATGGGTACTCCATCAACACCTACAGACTTCGATTTGACCTGCTGAAAGGCTTCAAATACATCTATCTCGAAAACACAATTAAAAGAAAATGTATGACATTGTCTATCAATATCTGGAAAATCAACAATAACATTACCAACACCATTTTCTTGAGTAAAATATTCATTCAAAACATTAACATCAAAGTCAGTTGAGAGGTTGACGTCCTTGTCAACGATACCACCGGCATGAAGTTGTCTCCAGAGACGAGTAGCATTTAGTCCATTGAAAATTTTTTCATAATATTTTTTACGTTCCTTTCTAAGAATAGACTTAGCTTTGTTTCTGAGGGTTCGATACACCGCCATACTTTGCTGCGTAGGAAATTTTAAATAATTTTTGTACGCCATATCACGCAAAGAGATCGCCAGTATTATAGATTTACATTTCAGCCACGGATCCAAGGAATGTACAACACGTTTTCTAACGATAGGAACATGTGAAAAAAGATTAGCAATAAGCAACTGGAGAAACGAAAGCTGTAAATTAATATCAGATGTACTATATAAACTACTAAAGTCAACATTGACGAGATAATCAAGCAGACCGTCCCAATTTATATCATTATAGTTCCGAAACTCAAAAAAATGTTCTGCTGATGTCAAATTTATATTAGTGATAGCAAAAATTAAAGAATGGTGAGAAATAGAAGGACATTGGACTTGATCAGAGGAGATAAGAGAACAAAGGTGACTGCAGGCAAAAAAATCAATAAGAGAAACAGAATCAGTAGCAATATTAAAATGGGTAGGCAACGAGTTATGAGTAATTGATATACCAAGACGAAGACAAACATTCCTCATTTCGATTTGGAAATGTCGAACAAGTTACAATTAAAGTCGCCGACAACAATTATAGATTCGTATCTGGACAAAATATCTTCATGTATCTCCTCAAAGTTATGAATATTACCATGTGGCAAATAAACAACACCAAAAAGGACTTTACTTAAACCAAAAATAAGTTCTATAAATAAAGACTCGCAAACTCCAGGATTTTCAGAGCGAAAAACCACCTTATACTTAATATTTTTTAAAATATAAATACCTACACCTCCTCCACGAGCGCTAGGTCGGTCATTGCGGACAAATGAGTAGCCCGGAATCGCAACAGTTTTCGACGAAACGTAAGGTTTCAACCAAGTCTCGGAAACAGCGAACAACCCAAAACCACTATCACAAATAAGATTTTTAAGCTCACAAAGGGTGGTATTATATATGGACGGACGCAAACTATGACAATTTAGATGACCAATGGACATACAATTTGAATATTGACTCAATCTGTTTTTGAAAAAAGACGAATTACCAACAATAGGACCGAGGTTATTTGAAATCATTGGAAATAAAAATAAATATTATGCTGGGGAACTTAATTGAAACCGAAATTGAGATCAAAAGGAGATTATATATTAAAATAATTATACAACAAAAGAAAAATAGAAAGAAATCAAGGCAAAAAAACATATTCAAAGAAAAAAAAAATAATAATAATATGAAAACTAATTCAAACAAGAAAATTAATATAACATTTGACTCAGGAAGAATCCTTAAGAACTACTCAAAAATTAATTCAAATAAATTTTTCAGCTATGATTCCATAATGCCTCACAATCATCAATTCTAAGAAACCGTTCATTGCCATCCGGAAGCAAAACATTAACTCCAGGCTCATCACCATTAACTAGTATAAATTTTGTAATTTTCCCTTGGTTTCTAAGTTGTCTGCAAACATACATTAACCTGGCAGAAGCGGGAGTCAGGTGATCGTCTATATACACATTCGTTTGTAGATTTCCACCAATAACAGCATTCAACTTAATAGGAGGACCTCGACGGTAATTAGCCATAATACTGTCTCTTAAAAGCACAGAGTTCAATTTAACCAAAATGGATTTACCACCGGCAAAATAACAGCAATGCTGTATATCAACTTGATTAATGCAGACATGGCAAATGGCTGCAATTTTAATAACAATGTCGCTTATATTGTGAAGACCACTAGGAAGGCCATTAAGGACAATATTTGAACGGTTTAGACGGCGTTGAAGAATCCCATTCTGTACCTCCATTTTCTCAATTCGTTTTCGGAGAGAATTAATACTCGACATTGAGGACTTGCATATCTCAATTTCCCCTTTGATGGTACTTAGCGTTGAAGATAATGACCCAATCTTGTCTTCACATTTCTTAACATCGTCCGAAACTTTGCGCAACCCATCCAGAAACTCCTGCCGAAAAGATGCAACGACATCATCCAAAGCCTTCTGAAAATCGGCAACATATGATTGCATTTGTTGTTCAATTTTAGTTTTCAATGCCGAAGCCATATCGTTCACGACAGCAGTAACATGGTTAATAACATCACTGTCACTAGTACGACCAGAATTACTACATGCAGGTTTTTGTGAAATTTGTGAACATTTATTGCATTTATACACCAATCCTTTGTTTGCTTTAACTTCATTGATGCTCTTACCAATACATGCCGGATGGAAAAAATTGGGACAAGTAGAGCATCCAACACTGTAGACTTTACCAATAGTTTTACCACAAATAGGACATGTATAAATTTTAGATCTGGTTGACATCATAAGAAAATGGTTGCAAACACAAAAAAAAAACCAATCGATAATTTGTTTGTGTCACAAGTGGCGCATCAAAATAAACAGTGTTCTTCTTATTCTTCTTCTCAGCGCAGCCGTGTAGAAGTTGTTAGTGTATCAAAGCACATAAACAATTTTGTTATCTTCTCCTTCTTAGCGCAGCAGTGTAGTTTTTGGTGTATGAAGGCACGTAGTTTTTGTAGCTTAATCAGCGTGAATATCAAATATTTCAGCAAATCTTCATAAGGCGTGATCAGATATAGTCGAAAACTAGTAGCACAGGTGTATTTTACTCCGAAAAATAGTATATTTTTTACATTTAAAGATTTTTCCCGAGAGCACAGCAAAAAATTTAGCAATTCATGTCAGTGCTGCCAAAGTTCATATCAAATAACATCAAATTTTAGAATAAGTTTCGATTTGTTCGAATTGGTTACCTTTGGCACGAATTATGGC